TACAGATGACCAAATGAAGGCCCAGAGAGAAGGGACTTGTCCACAGACATGCTTGGATTACATTGCCCGGCTCTATGACCCCAGCCCCGTGCTTGTCCTGTGGTTCTGTTCCTTATGTGCTGCTGGGACAGAGGAGATCAGACAGCCGGGAATTCAGGGGAGAAGAGGGTCCCTTCTGACCTCAGACTTCCTTCTTTACTCCCTCCCGGCATACCTTCCCTTTCTTCCTTCCCTTGTGCTGGGCCCTGGGGGTACCACAGTGAACAGACACAGCCCAGGCCCTCATAGAGCTCACAGTCCAGTGAGGACAAGGCCCTCTAATCAGGCGCTTATTAGCCAGGGTGCTTGAGACATGGTGGGGAGGCACAAGGCAAGGACACCTGACCCAGCCTGGGGGTATCCTGGCTGACTGCCTGTAGGAATCAACACCTAGCCTGAGACCTCCTTCATTCTTGCTAACTGTTCTGCCTGGCTCAGTTCTAGCCCATGTCCTCCCAGAGGCCTGAGATCCTGATGCCTCACACAGGTCACATGTCACCCGCGCATGCTCCTGGCTCATGCATAGGGTACACTGAGTCCTGGTGCCTAGTCCATGACTTCATCTCCTTCCAGANAGGAGACAGAAAGGGATATGGAGGGAGGGATGGAAGGTGAGGAGGGCCTGGTAAAGCAAGGGACTGGAGGAGGAGCTGGCCCCATCTTGCTCCCTAGATCTTCCAAGGTAAGATGATCATGGTCCTGATGCAGCCCATAGCCAGGAAGAAAGGGTGACTGGGCACCCTCTGAGTGCTGGTGGGGTAGAGGATGCTCATTAGCTCCTCTGCACCCCCCGCCCCCCCCCCACACACACACACCTCCAATGCAGCAAGAGCACTGGCCTGGGAGCCAGGACATTTGGATGCTACTCTCTCTGCACCATGAGCCGAACCTTTCCTCTCCCAGTCTCAGTTTCCCCACCTGTAATACAAGTGACTCCCATCTAGGCCTCAGAGGAGGTATAGAGGGCTTGGTAATTACAAACTGATCCTCCAGAACCAGGCTACCTATAACCCTGGCCTGCTCTTCACCAGTCATATGCCCTCAGGCAAATTAAGGCTGCCTGGGGATTCCTGGGAGTCTCTTCCTCCTAGGGTTGTGGGTGGGTGTAAATGAGCTTCTAATTGTAAAGCACTTAGAATGGTGCCCAGCATGGTGAGAGCTCAGTATTAGCTATTGTTATTCTGTGGTCAGTCCTCAATCCTTGCTGCCTCCAGGCAATGCCTGGAGATTCTGTGTCCCCAGAGAAGAGGACAGAGGGCTCCCTCCCCCAGCTCACTCCCAGGGCCTGGAAACACCAGAAGTGAAGCAGGGGCAGCTAAAGGACCAGGGTGGTGGTGCGAAGCCTGGGGCCCAAGATAGTCCCTTGACTATCTCCCCTCTCCAAGCCACCACCAGCTGCCCCTGGACAACTGCAAGAGCCTTTCTGGTCCACCCTCCTCCTTCAGCCAGGCCAGTCCCCTCTGCTTGCACGCCACACTGGCCGCTGGTGATCTTTAGACAGTCCAAGCCCATACTCACACCATCCCTTCTCCTTAGAAAGCTTTCTTGTTCTTTCTACAACCTTGGCCCTTTACTGTCACCCAGACCTCAGCCTGGCTACCTCATCTAAAACAGTAGTCTCCTTCCCCAGTCATCCCCTGTCTCCTTCAACCAGTTGACAGATGTTACTGACAGGTCCTACTGTGTGCCACGCTCAGGCCCTGGGGAGACGGCATTGAACAAGCCAGGCAAAGTCACTGCTCTTATGGAGCTTGGATTCTAGTGCGGGGACAAGCTGGGAAGCCGATAGTAAAGCCCACATGACTAAACAAGGACCGTATTAGATGGTGAGGAGTGCTGCGCAAAGGGTTAAAACGCAGGATGGGATGGTGTGTGGGCGGGGGCTTGTCAGTGACCCTCATCAGAGCCTGCATGTATCTGGAGTCCTCGGCCTAGCTCTGCACTGGTCCACAGAAGTGTGACTTGGCTTCAATTGTCAAACTCCTACTGAGCACCTACCCTCTGCCAGGCCTCGCACCAGGCTCTCATGATACACAGTGGACGGTGAAGTATGTCACCCTCTGCTGTGAAGGCTGGCTGGCATGGGACACTCATTCCTGACCAGGTCGTGGTGCTAAGCCTGAAGGGGTGTGGCTGTCTAGAGTAGGGGGAGGTGACATGTTGGAGTTGAGGGCCAGACAAAGAAGAGGTGGAGAGTGATGGAACAGAGAGAGCAGCAGGAGCACAGGGATGGAGGTGGAAACGAAGGTCGAGGAGGTATCCAGGTGTCGATATAAGTGGCTTTGTACTGTTCCCACTGTCACCACCAGCAGCTAGTGCTATGAGAGCTCACCAAGTCACAGGCATCATGGTGAAGCCCTTTATGTGGCTTATCTTATTTAATGCTCACAACAACCCTATAAGGAAGACACTGCTGTTATGACCCCATTTTACAGATGAGGAAACTGTTCGCTAAATATAAGTAACTCATTCAGTGCCACTCAGCCAGCAAGTGGCAGTACTGGACTCAGCCCAGGCCACCTGGCTCCTGGTCCTCTGCTCTTAATAT